TTACAATTTCCAACTGCTGGCAGTTACCAATAACAATTTCCAAACACACCCTTAGTTTCCACTTTAAGGAAGAAAAAAATAAAAAACACTCTCCTCGATGAAAATTGCTTTAATAACACTTATAAAATTATATTTTTTATAAATGTTTGTAAATTTTCAAAATTTTTAAGAATTTACATTATCTGAAGTTGTAATTTTATGATGAATTGAATTCAAATCATCATAATTTGCTTTTGGACCATTCAGACTTGTAACAAAGCCAACATAATTAATATTAAATTCAACTTCTTTTGGTTTCTTTATCATTGTTACGTCATGTAGAATTGGAATCAATTTCACATGAGCATAATCTATTTCGTATCCTTCAAATATCATAGCACATGACTTAATTTCCAGAGCCTTCATCAATAAATTAGAAACTTTGTGAGTTGCTACCATTAACTTTTCAAAATCCGGTTTATCTAATGCAAAAATATTACTGTCCAAATGTTTTCTTGGAACTAAAACTGTGAAACCAGGTGTATTTGGAAATGGAGTTAGGAAAGCAACGTGATCTTCATCTTCCCATACTCTCCACTGGGCTTTCTCGTCACCTCTTACAATTTTTGCAAAAAGATTGTCGTCGTTTGCATCTCCATAAAATTTAAAATTTAATTCTTGTGAGTCAAATTTATTTCTTATTTTATTTTGAATTTTGTTCAGTTCGTCATCAGAAGCTCTAGGTCCATTTTTAGAAGTACAGTAACCTGGATAGCAAGAATTAAACTCAGGTTCTGAACAGATGCATGGTTTCCAGGCATCGGAGAGACCGTGAAGCGGAATTAGAAGAATTTTTGTTGGCTGACCATCCTGTGGTTCCGCAATCAATGCACACCGTTGTACATCGAGTCGATCACAAAGAAGATTAGATACATGTTGAATATCCAACATTATTTTAACAAATTCTTGTATTGGAAGTGCAAAAATATGAAAGTCAGGTTTATTCTTTATTTCTACTACAGTGACCCCAGTTGTATATGGAAAAGAATGTAGATAGGCAATGAGATAATCATTTTCATAAACAATCCATTTATACTTTCCAGCACCTTCAGAACTGTTTGACATATTGCAAGTATTAACTTGGAAAAATACAGAAGTATCTTTATAAAAAGTTTTCAAAATATTACAGTTTTTTATAAATGCAGATATATTATTTCTAGCAACTGATTTTATAGTAAGCGTTCTCTTTCTGTTACTTGTCACAGGTACATTTTGATCCAGATGTAATGCATTAATTACTATTGTATATTTAAATATACTTCTCAATTTGTTAACAGGTCTGTTAGCTATAAATGTACTATAAAAATTTGTTACAATAGTTCCAATTATCTGACAAAAATTTTGCTGTCTTGAATGAAAATGATTGTTTCCATCAAAAAATGACACAATCCAAGATCCTGAAAATAAAAAAAATTCCTTCATATTTAATGTTATATAAGCTACGAATTTACTGTCAATATATTTTATCAAAATATTACAAGTATCTATTTACATTTTAATTCAATTGTCCTTTTCCAAATCCTAAACGAAATTTGAAATGATTTTATGAAAATTGATCAGATTTATTCACGTTTGAAAATTTAATTGGAACAAAATAAAATACTTTCATATTCTATTTTGAAATTATAATTAATTAAAAGATAAAACTTTAAAACAAAACAAATTCATAATAGTGTTCTATCTTAAAACAAGTTTTCAAAATGAGAAGTTTTTCTAAACTTCTATCATATTAACATAATTGTGACTGAAGTTATTTAATCAACTGCTTATTCTGTAAGTAGATGATTACATTTTCAATCGAAAAAAATGGATTGAAAATTTAATAGCAAAATGCAATTGGAAAGAAAATGATGTTAATTTTAATGTTGAAATTTGAAAATAAAAACCTCCATTTAGAATACAGTACTAAATAGTACTAAATATTAAAATTTGAATGGAACACTTCTATTAATATACTAGCTGCTTATGCCTGGCTTTTGACGGGGTGGAGGGATTAGTGAGGTTGAGTTGGGAGAAGGTGATAAAAACAATGGTCTTAGTAACTAAATGTACATTTACGAGGGCTATTTTTTAAATAAGATCCGTTTTTTTAATAAGAAGAAAAATACTGTAAATATTAAAATATATTTTTTCCCATATTCTACATACTTTTATCTACTTTTCTACATAACATCCATTTTTGTTCAAACATTTGTCATACCACTCAAAAATTTTTTAAATTCTGACTTCAAAAGAAATCTGCCGCCGGAAGACATTAGGCCATGCCGCTTGTTTTGTATGGTACAGCGGAGTTTTCTCAAGGTCACAATAAGCATCAGAATTGATTGTTGTGCCTCTTGGCATAAAATCCACTAACAAAGTCCCTTTCCTGTCCCAAAAGACAGTTACCATGATCTTTCATGCTGAAATCGAATAACAGATTGTATCTTACAGTCAGTGGGTGACTCAATTTTCTTAAACATTATAAACTTCTACAGTTCAGCACACAGACAGGCAATACGGCTGCAAATGGCATCTAAACACATGCAAAGCATGCTGAAAGCAGATGCTCATGTACACTGCTGCAATCGCACATCATTCTCACTCTCATTCACAAACAGACCTTATTTAAAAAATAGCCCTCATATTTACCTCAGTACTTGCAATAATGAAAATGCAAAACACAAAAATTTGCTTGGGCTAAAGTTAACATGGAGTGCCCCAACCTGTTTGTCTCAAACTTAACTACTCAGCCATTCCTAAACTATTACACCTTTCTCAAGTCTCTCTTCAGCATCATCATCTATAGGTTAAGAGCCGAAATTTGATACCTGAACCATATTTTTTGCAACAGCTGTTTATCAAATCAAGTCAAACAAACTAAAGCCCTCTTTCAATTAATATATGGATAATCAAACTAATTGTACAATATAAACATCAATCACAAGAAAATTTCAAATTTCATAAATATTAAATTCAAATTTTCTAACAAAATAAATGTTAGTGTTTTGAATATCAAACTAACAATCACTGAAATTCTAGGTTTCTTCTGTTGGATATTAATTTATTTAAATTATTAGTATAATATTTCATGAGTCTGCTATTGTTAACTTTAATAATTTTGTATATTTTAGTAGAAATTATTCTGAGACAAAGAAGCAAAAAAAAAAAAAAATTGAAATTGATTTGGATACATGACTCCGGACATTATCTAATATGAAAGTGCATTGCCAATTTCAATATTTGAATATATTCAGATGTATATCAATTTTATTAATAAAATAATATATAAAGATTATGGATAAATAATGTCATGCTAAATGGGATCCTGTTACAAACCTCAAGTTTCACTTCAATAAAATTAATGGATGGCAACATACTTGCCTTTCACGAAAAGTTATTTTAATAATTTAAATACAGTGGGTGATCAGTTAATGAACAGTTTGGACAGCTAACAAATTGGATAACGAACACTTTCGCGAAAGATTTTTATGATTGGACAATGAACACATGTTTGGATAACAAACACTTTACTGAACAAACATAAAAAGAAACAATAGAAAATAACGAATACCAATTGATTTTCCCTTGTCTTCAGGTAACAATTCGAAACCTTTTGGAGCATGGGAGACATCAACATCGACCCTCAACCCGATACCGATCAGATAGTATTCCTTTGAATTTTGAAACTCTCCCTTGTAATTCTAGCTTTTTGTTTACTTTTCTGACAAATAATTTTTTATAGTCTTCAAGAGACTGTCAGTCGGGCACTTGTTAAGTTTTGTGTCATGGTTTATTTACGAAAGGTGAAAGTTTAATTGTCCCATCGGATATTCATTAACGTTTTAATACTAAATTTTGAATTTCATCTGGGCCTTGCATTTAAAAAATTTTTTGTGGGCTAGTTGATTTGTGTTCTCTGAATTTTTGTAAGTGATCTGAACCTTTTATTTAAAAAAGAAACTGATAATATTATGAAGCCTAAAAAGAGGAGTGTCAAGAACTGTGCTCACCGTAGAAACTGAGTAAGAGATAATAGCCAAGGTAGAAAGTGAGCACAAGATGTCTGATGTTGCTGGGCAGTATGGCTTGAACAGGTCTACAGTAGGCACAATCTTAGCTATGAAAGATATATCAAGAAGTCTCAAGCTACTAATGGAGTAATGAAAATCACATCTGAGAAATAAAGAGCATTTTAGAGCTCATAATGGAACCTGAAACTGATCTGACGACAGAAGAACTCCAAGAACTCTCAACTGAAGAATACATATGCACACAGAAATGTAAGTTCATTTTTTGTGATGAAGGTTCTGACTTTTCTATTTTTTGCAATGAAGTTGTGAAGTTTCATTTGCTGCTTTTTTCTTTCCTTAAGCAAATGTTGGTAGCTGAAGATCGCATCCAAAACACCTCGTTTTGCTTTTGCACTCCTTTCAAAATCTAGATCGTTCGCTACAATTTGATCAATGATTTCAGTTATCATTACCAAATTTTTACTAAGGAAATCTGTAGAGAAAGTTTTTGGGTTCTTCATTTTCAGAATCTCTATTTTCCAGTTCTACATGAATTCCTTGTTCTGCCAGTTCTTGAAGGTCGTCATTGGTAAGGCTCTCACCAGAAACCTGCGATAACTCCTCAATATCCTGCTCGTCTATATCTCCTAGTCCTGCTATATCTATTAGGTTGACAACTTGGCCAACCTAACAATACAGCAATAGTCTCTTCTTGTTGATAATTCTTGGATACCTTCAACCATAATTTCTTCCACACACTGTTCGTGCATTTATTAGTTAGTTCTTGTCAAGCAAAGCTTAAATTGCCTATGGCATCCATGATGTTATATTTTTTCCAAAATTGCACCAAACAAACAGATTTAAAGAAAGTACACCTTTTTGCCACATTTTTCTGATTGGTTCGAGTTCATAAATAATCGTATTATATACGAATAAATGAAATGACGCGATAATTTAAATTGGCGTAAATTTTGAGCTTTAAGGCTTTGAGCAAACTGTGTTATATCGAATCAGCGTTAAGTAGGATCTTACTGTAGTAATACTAGTAATCACAAAGAAGAAAATATTTCACTTTGTTTTTGCTGAGTTTTTCAAAATACAACCATATAACAACTAAAGGGTTTTTGAACATTTGGCATTGGACTTTATGCTCAAGTTAGCTGTATATTTTAAACAAGCAATATACATAACTGGAAGGTGTTTGCCAGTATCACAACCTGAATCATAAATGAGTGTGATAGCATTTACCAACTGTAAATTACTTGAATATCTTAATATTTGAGTGTGTCCAAAACACCTCTGATAAGATGCCATTTTGACACATGCTGAATAACTACAAACCAGGATTCTGGGTATGAACAAAGTTGATTGCATCATTTTCAATTTGTTTCAAATTTTCAACATGAGCCAGTGATGATGTGAAGTTGATTTTATAGGACACAATGTGAAACTTTTTGTTGAAAGCATGAATCCAACCATGTCATGCCTTGAAAATGTCTAGACACATAGCTTTAGCATTACATAATGACCAAATTTGAAGGTTGTGTTCCTTTACAATGATGCCAGTTTTTTTCTTGTGTTATTGAACTGCTGCAACATTTACTGTGAAATAGATTTGCATTTGTATCTGACATTTCCTCTAATGTTGACTTTCTTCTCCATATTGAACAGTTGAGTAGTCAACTTCATTAATCCATGAAAGTTTTGTTTATTGATTGTTCTGAACGGTGAAGCTAAATTTGCAATCACGCCAATAAGCAACAATTTCACACATCTTGTCAAGTGAAATGTAACTTTTGTCATGTTAATACATTCTCCACTACATTCATTCATCTGAATATCACCATTGTAAACTTCTTTGAAAACCTCATAATGCAGCTGTAATGTAACACAACATTACTTCAATTGAGCATTTTTTGCAAAAACAACAGATGTCTCTGACAATTACTAGTTTTTGTGAGAAAGGTTGACTTACAAGATGGCCAACTACATTGAAAGGTATTCTGGATCTCAGTAACCTCAACATCATTTGAAGATATCCTATATTAGTTGGTTTTGTAACCAGGAAAAAGATGATGATGATGTTATTTGAGAGGTTAAAGTTAATGGAATTAACCCCACAAATCACAAAAAGAAGGAAATAGGAAAGTATGTCATGGTTCCTGATTACAGGTAAGTATCTATCTCTCACTTTTTGAAAGATTTGAGATTTAACTTTTAAATCTCAAATCAGCAATGATTATAAAAGTCACTAAAGATAAACAGGCTTTCCAAATTTGTGACATATAATCTAGACCAGCTCTGGCCGACCCAAATTGTTTCACAGGCCACTTTGATGATGCATAACATTACAGTGGGCCACACTTTAGGGGATACAGGTACTAGTTGAGACGTTGGTCACCAGGGCAGCACCACCATCTGGGACAAAGATTCACAAGTATCAAATATAGAACTGGTGTTCATAGTCGCACTTGTGCACTGTAACAATGACACATGCAAATTTTCATTTGTTTAATTTTTTTAGTATACACATAACGAGAAACAAAAGTTTTAATAGATATATAAAATCGCTTAGCGGGCCACACAATTTAATGTGATGGGCTGAGTGTTGGCCAGGCCTGATCTAGGCCATACAAAAAAATATTCTGATTAGAAGCACCAGGAAGTGGATCAATGCATTGAAACTGCCACAAGCCTACAAAGATCTAATACTTATACAGGAAAAGAAACTCGTGGACTGCCTGAAGTTGTCAGTTTTCCTATAGTAGGCAGAGAATAAGAAGTTCTACAAAAAATCTGTCAAGTATTGTAGATGATAAACAATATGTGGACATTGCAGAGGAAGATAACAGCAGTGGCTACAAACTTTTTCATGTAAAAAGAACCATGGGAATAAAGTTTCTAGAAAGAACAGCATATGTCAGTTTTCAAAAATTTAATTTTTCTTGGGTCATGTCAAAAACAATATTCTGGAAATACACCAAAACTTTTGGAATATATCACTGTTTTGGCAAATAGGTGCAAAAGATGTCCTTGTTTAATGCATTTTAATAGAAATAGTTTTGCAATTTTCTTAACATTTATGTTTTTTGACATATGCTGTTTTTGCAAAAATAGGCCTCAATTATATTTTGTATTTTGATGTCTGTAATGGATTATCCTCTGCATCTGAAAATTTGCTAGTATGGTGAACACTAAATGTACTTTTGTATGGTAATAAAATCATTTAATTCCAAGAGTCAACCCAAATGAACACTGCCATATATTATAACACTATATCAATGTTACTAATATCTAGTCTGATCATTCTATATTTGAGATCTGAACATTAATTAGAGTTTAAATTTGTGTTTGTTTTATTATTATGTAAATTCTACTTAAAATACTTAAAAATATAATTTTTCAAATGTACTATTATTATTAAATTATTTTAAAATTCTTTTCTTACTTTTCATATAATGCCAAAGTAGATCAAAGTAGGCTGTAAAAATCTTCCTAATCCCTTAAGCTTCAAGAACCTATTAAAAAAAAAAAATTGTTTGTTTCTGAAATCTGCTATCTAAATAAAAGTTTGTACTTATTAAGTTTATTTAGTTGAATTCTAAGGATTAACATAAAAATTCTATTACAACTTATTCTATCATTAATTAAAAAGTTTTTATTGCAATGGGGCTTGCCCTTCTTTCTGCCTGTGGACACAGCCTTTTTTCTCCCAGGGCCATTATGAGCTCGACCAAGCCAAAAATAGAGTGGCCGAGGGACAGAACCTGACATATCCAGGACAAACCATCCTCAAAAGCTTCCTGAGGATTTTCAACTGTCCAGGTTTGATTCTGGATCTCCCAAAGCATAGGATGCTGCCTTAACTGTCTTGGCCACTGACTGGAAATATTGCAGAAGTTTCAACAAGTGTCCAGGTAATCTGTGACCCACATCATTACAAATTGCTGTATTTTTGCAGAATGATCGGCATAACAGTATCCGAGGTAGACCAGGAAATCAAATTATTCCTTATGGTAAAAACCAACATGCCGGTAACACCAGAGTTTCTGGCATGCTGGTCTCTCACATTTATATGAATTTACATTACATGTCATTTCTCAAAGATACAATAAAAATAATAGTAGTTTATAGTCTAAGAATAATAATCTGTAAAGAATATATATATTAATATATATACAGGGGCAGATCTACATAGAGACTAATAGGGCTTAAGCCCTGGGCCCCCAAGTGTCAAGGGCTCACAAATCATAAATTTTTAATACTTTTTCATTAATAATGAGCACTTATAGTAAAAAATAGTTAATAGATTAGGTTTAGTGTTGACACCTTTTCAAAATTGCTGACCTGGACAGTCCCCCTGCTGTTTTTTTTTTTTTTTTTTTTTTTTTTTTTTTTTTTTTTTT